TTTCAGATTTTCCACAGAACGATCGTGGTGCCATCCATTCCGTGAATTACGCGGCATCAGATATGAAGATGCTGGTATTAAGTTCGCTGGAATCATCTTCAAGCCCTAAAAATGATTGCACTTTTACTTTTAATTTATCCAATTTTTTTATTCTTTGGCAGTTTTGCAGGAGTTCCACTTAAATGCAAATTTGCTATCAAGCAGAGATCCACCAAACGTGTACTGATAAGTATTCGAAGACAAATGTTAATCAAAAGCTACAAATAAGCGTAACTGAAAATATCAAGCAACTGTGGCACTCCCATCCATCCAGAGAATCAGTCAACCAGCTACCAGGACTGAAGGCGCACTTTGCGTCCTTCATTAGGCAATTATATAAACTGGCAGTTTAGACGTCTACCACACTGGTGGCATCACTGGTGAGCTCTATCACTTGAGAACAGCACGGACTTTGAGAAGTGGCTATAATGCTGTTTTACCTCTAAAGTCAAGGCGTGCTTAAGAACCATCCGTTTTGTGACAAGATTCGTGTTCCTGACCGACTCCCGCCTACAGGTTCTATCCAAACCAGCATTGATTATGGTTCCAACAAAATTTTGCTCATAACTTACAGAAGCACTGTGAAGCGTTGATCAGCTTGTTGTATGTCAGCAAACATGAGCCTAAATAAGGGAACGCATCACTGGTTAATCTCTTCTTTCTGTCACTTTCCATCTTCACCATTTTCTGTTTCGACCCTCCATCCCAAGCCAAGGCTATCAGGCATCGCAATTAAAATTGCTCGAAGACACATTTGATGCCATCGTTGATGGTCACACAAGATTTGTCACAGAAGTCACATGTGATTGAGTACAGTAAACTTCTGACACTGTTTACGTCTATGAGTCTCAGTGATATGCAATTTGTGTGTGACGCCTAATGATTTTACAGGTGGTAGATTTGAGGGTAATTGATGTTAATTTGTGAACGCTGCTGCCCTAGTTAAAGGTAGTCAAATGGTGTATGCTTGCTAAAAGTAATACATTGGCTCAAAGTTTTTTGATTAAACGAACCCCGTAAACATGTTTGTGGATCTCCACCAGGTCCTGGAACAACAAATTCGGCTTAGGTCATTAGTTCGTCAGCGAGGTGTGAACAGAATTGTAATAATTGGCGAAAATTCGGATTGTGTTGTTTAAATATGTTATAAATTACATGGCTAAAGTGCAGCAACTTGACTGACTTTATGCTTAACAGCGCGAGAATTTTAGACT